TCTCCTCCAGGGTTTGAGCGCTCCACCTCTGCTCCTTGCTCAGGAGTGGGAGACGAGGTCTGTCGGTGGCAGCGGTGCAGGTGAGGCCAGTACGTTCAGGATAAAATGAAAGTGGTCATTGAGCTGACTGCCCTCCTGGCGAGCTGTGTGTGTCGGAGCAGAGCTGTGCTGTCACGGTCTCTGGGGCTGATGCTGCAGAAACAGGCCCCCAGGCCTTTCTGCGGAGGGGCCTGTGGGTTCGCTCCAACCTTCCACTTAGCAGCTGAGTTTGAGTGGTGCCCTGTACCACCCAGGGACTCCCCATCAGAGCTGGCGAGGCAGCAGCGTGGGAGGAACGTGGGCTGGCAGTGGGGCACAGCTACCTTGCCCACCCAGGTAGCGGGACAGAAGGGGAGCCCCGTGTGTGGGAGGTTCAGTGAGCCTCACCTGCCCCCTCACGGAAGAGAGTGAACCCTAGATCCTGCTGGTGTGGCTTGCTGGCAGGGACTGACTCCATTCTCCGCCCTACCTGAGGTTCTCCTCTCCTGCAGGGTTGGGGGCCCAGGGGACTGGAGATAGGAAAGACGTGCTTCACGGGACTTTGGGGCTTTCTCAGGTCAGTGTTTTCAGTGTTCCTCTTGACTGCTCTTTTGGAAATGCACAGACTGAAACATTCTCCTCCTCAGCCTCCTCATAGGGTAGCTTGGCGTCTTGCCTGTGAAAGCTTAGACACTAGGGTCTCTGTCCCCTTCCTTCAGAGCTGGGGTGGTCTTAGTGACTCGCTCCTGACCAGTGCAGTGCAGGAGAGGGGGTGTTGCTGGCTTCCAAGAGTAAGGGGAGAGGGCCAGTCAGCTGGAGCCTGAACCTGGTCACAGGACCTGGGAGTGAACTGTGAGGAAGCCCAGACCGGTGGAGAGGTCATGTGTAGCTGCTCTGGTGAAGAGCCCCAGCCAGCACCAACTGCCAATCATCTGAGGAGGCCATCTTGGATGTCCAGGAGGCTACAGCCCCTCCCACATTTGACTACAATCTGCCAGACCCCAGGTGGGAATGTCCCAGAATCCCCAAGTGAAATCAAGTCCTTAGGGGAGATTTGCTATACCACGGTGGTCGTCGGAACCCCTCACCCTCAGACCGTCCAGCATTTCCCAGGGATCTGCTTGGTGGCTTCTCCTTCCTGTCTCATGGGGGCATTTTCCTGCCATGTAGTGAAGGGCGGGGCTTTCAGTCTTCACAAGTTGTTAAGTTATGAGTTGTTAGGTGCTGCTACGCTGGTTCCCACTCTCAGCGAGCCCACAGACAGCAGATGCAGACACTGCCCAGATCTGTGCCATTCTCACAGCTTTCCTATGGTCTAGCCCGTTGTTGCAGCCACTGGGTCAGGCAAACGCACTCAGAGTCCTGGACACCGGCACAGATCGTGCTCCCATTTTAGAGATGAGGACCAGTGGCCAACATCGCTCAGGAATGCAGCGGTCTCCCCACTATGTTCCCTGTAACTTAGATTGAAAACTGGTCCCATCTTGAGTCACAGAATGTTAGACTTGGGTGACCCATTGGCCTGATTTAGAGCAATGCTTAGCACCCCTGTGTTAGTCCGGGTTGGCTAGAGAAACAAATCCAGGGACACTCATATAGGTATAAAAAAGAGATTTATATTGACGAGTAGTTGCATATTGAGAAATCATCTATATCGGATACAACATCCCAGTCCAGATCAAGTCTATAATTCCAATATTAGCCCATGTGACCGATATTAGTTCATAAATTCCTCTTTTAGACACACATAGCACATGCAATGATGCTGAATGCAGGAAGATCACAGGCCGGTGGTTAGAAAGTCTTGTGGATCCAGTGGCAGTGGAAGCATCTCCACATGGCTCCTCCAGCTCTCTGTGTCTCAGTAGCAGGGAAGTGAAGCAGAGA